TGGGAGACTGCAGTCTGGGAAATGGTTAGGCCATGCTGGCCTCTGTCGGCAATTGTGGTGACGTGGAGAAGTGTGACAGTGGGGAGCGTGCACCCGAAGGAAGGGGTGCAGCCTGGGCTCATTATCTGTGTCCAGGAATCCCCAGCCTCTCGTAGTTGTCAGGTTAAATCCCCAGATCCACGAGGAAATCCCTAAGGCGTGGAATTGGGAGGGCAGCTGCTTCTAGAAGATTCCCCATAAAGACTTTTTGAAATCAGCATACCAAAGATTTCCTCTTATCTCTCCGCTCTGTTCAGTGGATATTACACAGACACCCCGCCCATATCTCAGCTCTTGTAAGGAAACATTTATTGCAAAAATACTGCAACCGTTTCATCTCATATCCTTTTAGATTCTTTCTAGTAATTTTGACCTTTTTTTCTTTTAAGCTGTTCCGTCAAGGTCTTGGAAGCAAATTACCTCCCTCCCACCGCCCCACCCATCACTCCCCCTCCCCCCCCCCAAAAAAAAAAGAAAAAAAAAAGAAAAGACACACTGGCCTGAATTGGAAGTTAAAATCTTTGTTTATGGACACCCTTTCCTGGGAGGAAGACAGAGTTGTGGGTCTGCTCTGTTCTTTTTTCCTCGCAGCCTTGTCTGGGGGCAGGTTTCTCTTTTCTACCTCCACCTTTCACACTGAGGCAAAGAACTGAGAGGAGAAAGCCCCTGAACCTTCTGGGGGTCCCCTATTTTCTACATTTCTTTTAAATTCTCTGAAACTATGTGTATTTTCTCATAGTGTCTTTGTAATTAGAATTAGCTGTAATAAGAATGCAATTATATATCGCTAAACTGTAATAAGAATAGCAATTAGATATCGCTTCCGGATGACACTGTTTTACAATCCCTAAAACGTGCATATTCTTTCATAGACTCTGTGAGGTAGGATCTACTCATATCCTGTTATCTGCCTTTTACAAAAGAGGAAATTGAGGAATAGGACAGTTAGGTAACTTGCCCAAAGCCATCCAGCCTGTAAATGGAGGAACTGGAGTTTGAACCCAGACAGAAGAATCCCATGCAATGGTTGCTATGCTATAGGAATTTCCTATTAATGAATTTAATAATATTGAAATTTTAAAGTTACATTTTGGTAGATTTTTTTCCTTTTATTTATTTAACCTTCATGAAGTTTATTTTGGGGAGTTGTTTAAATTTAGTTTGTATAGGAAACCACACAATTTAAAAAAAAAAAGAACTCCTATGAAGAAATCATGCATTCCAAGGCAATATTGCATTTTTCTTACTTGGAAGATCATTGAAATATTTGACCTAGGAACTTGTTTTCTTTAGGAGAAGTGCTTGGCTTCATATAATGTTAGACCATAGCACATGGTGAACTACAGAATAATGACAGGTTCTTTGATCTTCAGTGTTCAATAAATACATATTGATTGGAATGTACTTGGGAAGTGAACACCCTTGAAAGGGTAGATAGATGATGTAATGGCAAATGAGAGGAAATTTCCATAAGACACATAAATATTAGAGAGATTCACTTGAAAGATACTACTGTTTTTTTCTTTCTGGGACTTTCCCTAACAGGCCAAAATTTGATTTGGAGCCTCTCCTGTGTACTGATATCCAGGATCTACTACTGTGGTGCTATCTCCCACATTTTCCTCATTGCCTAGCAGTACTTGCCTGAAGGGCAGGCTTCTTGTCCTGCTCCATGGTGTGTCCCTAGAGCTCAGCATGGTTATGTGTCCTAGAGTGATGGGAGTTTTGGAGAACAGCAGTACTTGTTCACAGGATCAGTTTACATGATTGGTCAGCCTTGTCTTGTTAGGTGTACTGAATTGGGATCTAACAGAAAGCAAGACTAATATACTTATGAACATTGTTCCTCTTCAGTCTTAGAGTCCATACTGAACAACCTCCACCAGCACTTCTTTCTCACATTTCCTTGTACTTTTTCATCCATCGTCCATGTGTCCATCCATCTTTACCGCTAGATATAAACTGCCTGTGATCAGGTATATGTATTTTATTTGTCTCTTCTGTATCTATCCCACTGCCCATATATTTTACACATGATAATTTTGGGTGTTTATTATGTAACAAAAACAACCTTTGAAACTTTTGTGTCTGGTTAGTTAACTATATTTCAGCACCCAGTGAATGGTCAGAGGTTTAGCTATAGCCTTAATCCTGGTCTTACAAATTAGGGTCTTTACAATGATAGAATCACAGGATTTTATTTTTTTCATTGCTGACAGAGACCTTATAACTGCTGTGTCCAATATGTAATTAATAGCCACACATGGCTATAAGTAGTTAAAAACTAAATAAAATTAAAGATTAAGTTCTTCACTAGCATTAGCTACATTTTAAGAGCTCAATATCGTGCCACAAGTGGCTATTATATTGGATAGCACTGGTACAGATATTTTCATTAAGGGAAAAAGTTTTATTGGACAGAACTGATAAGTTACAAAAAATAGGTAAAAGTATTGTTTTGTTAGTTTAAGTATGTTGTTATTACTGAAAATAGTTGAGAATGCTTAGTAGTAGCATTTTTAAGAACATCAAATTTCTATTTCAGATGTCTGTTGTTTCATATAGGATAAACATTTTCTTCCTTAACAGTGGTGTTTAAATTAAATCATGTTTAAACATATTTAGCAGAACCAGTGGTTCAAAAGGACTCCCATTTATTTTCCTTTAAAGTAACTATTCATCCCAGATGACCCTTTGTGGATCTTAATTTTTCTCTTTAAAAATACTGTACTTAGCCAGGTGCTGTGGTGCCTGTGATTTCTTAGCAGCTCAAGACATTGAGGCAGGAGGATCACAAGTTCAAAGCCAGCCTCAGCACTTTGCCAGACCGCCTCAAAATAAAGAAATAAAAAGGGCTGGGAGGTGGTTCATTGGTTAAGCACCCTTGGGTTCAATCCCCAGTACCAATAAATAAATAAATAAATATATATATATATATTTTAATCGACTTGAGTCATTGCATAAGTTTAACATTCACTGGATTTGCTGTGCTTTTTAAGCTTGCATGATTGAGAAACTAAAATACTCAGTAATGTTGGTAAAGGCCAAATGCCAGATAGTTTTGGGCAGACCAAATATATATTTAATGACATCACACATACAATACAGACAGTTCTCAATTTACAAACATTCTATTCAGAAGCAGGCCAAATATAAAACATACTGCATATACCTTCTTTAAAATTCTCTATAGCACAGAATCACCAAGGTAGTCATTGTATAAACAAACAAATTAGTAAATGAAAAGTAAATTAAAAACACATGTTGGGATTCACAGAGAATGTGTGGCTTGAGTTTTGGCAGCAATGAAGAGACTGCAAGAAACTCGGGGAGTTTGTCGAGGTTATTTCAACAGTAGAGCACATTTGCTTAAGTGGTAACTCCCTGACAAAAATAGTCTCCTTGCATCTCCAGTCCCCCATGCTACACCCCTGTGGGCAGTGCATTTCCCCACTAAGGCTCTTCAAATTCTCCAGTTTCAGTTCTGCCATTTTTAAGTTTTGTGACTTTGGGCAGGTTTAGTAGCTTCTCTGAAGCTCCAGTTTCCTAAACTATAAAATAGAAGTAATCACCTGCCAAGTGCTAAGAATTAAAGAAAAATTTATATGAAGATATAGATTAGAGAAGTCATATAGACTCAAAGGATTATGATTATAAGTAATTGTAAAACTCCAAGACACTCCCCTACCAAGGTCAAAGTGGCTATCAGTATATGCACGTGATGAGAATCTGTTCCATCAAAATTTTTAGAAGGGGCTAGAGATGTAGTTTAGTGATGGAGTGATTGTCTAGCATGTGTGAGGCTCTGGATTCAATCTCCAGCACTAAAAACAATACACGCACACACACAGATACACACATGCATATATATATATGTTTGTGTATGTGTGTGTGTATATATATACACACACACATGGATATATATATACGTATGTGTATATATGTATGTGTGTGTGTATATATACACACATACACACACACAGTGAAGGTTGATGGCTTGAAGTTTCTAGGGTACCTTGGGAGGTGGAGAGAGATTTAAAAAAAGGAGATGAAAGACTGAAAGAAAACAGTTGAAATTGGATAGCACCTAGGTAAATGCCACCTTTTCCTTTAAGGAACAAATGTAATTGCTTGCATTTTCTCTGTACTTCCGTCTTCTGTTTCATTGATTATTCCTAAGGCTAAAGTTTCTACTTCACATTCTAATTCTTCTGACATAGCTTGTTTTTTTCAAAAAACAGTGTTGCTTACTTTGATTTTCCAGTTGTCTTTTGCTGATGGAGTTTCTGTGAAGGGCAAATTCAAAGTTCAGCTAGCTGCCACAGGGCTGTGGTAGGGAAGTGGTGGTCCTGGTTACAGGGGAACCTTGGTAGCTCCCCTAGAAACAATGTCAGTCAGCAAATGCTGGTCTAAGACACGGGCAGCAGTAATTAGACCATACCAAATAAAATGAAAACAAACAAATACAAGGAGACAGAGAGAGAGAGAGAGAGAGAGAGAGAGAGAGAGAGAGAGAGAGAGAGACACACACACACACACACAGGAGTGGAAGGAGGTGAAGGTGGAGGAGGCAGCGACATCAGGGGGAGGGACACCAAAAAGAATGGTAGCTACATGCAAATAGTTCTAAGCACGGTACCTGTGTCAATCATTTAAGCCTCATGACAAGTACATTATTGTTATTATCCCCAACTGAGGCACAGAGTGACTGTACCTAAAGTCACACAACTCTGAAGTGGTAGACGTGAGGATTAAACTTAGGCAGTTGGCTCTAGTGTTTGTCCTCTAACCACTGTATTACTAACTCTCCAATTCTCTGGTCTCAGGACCCTTTGTACACTTTTTTTTTGTACTGAGAATTGAATCTATGGGCACTCTACCACTGAGCAGTATCACCAGCCTTTTCCCCCTTTTAAACATGTTTAGACAGAGTCTCACTAAGTTGCTGAGGCTGGCCTCACTCTTTTGATCCTTCTGCTTCAACCTGCAGAGTCACTGGGATTATAGGCATTTGCCACCATGACCGGCTTTCATGTACTCTTAAAAAAATTATTGAGCACAAAAAGTTTTGTGTCTACTGATATTTACTATGTTAGAAATTAAGAATGAGAAATTTTAAAAAATCATTGATTTATTTAAAAGAGTAATAAACTGATAATATGTTCACATGAATAATACTTTAAAATGAAAATAGTGCTGGGGATATAGCTCAGTGGTAGACCGCTTGCCTAACATGCACATGACCCCAGTTTGATCCCCTGAAAACAAAGATACACACACACACACACACACACACACACACACACGATTATATTTCTTAAAACTGAGAATGTCATCAAAGAATGAAGATTCAAGAATGGCATCATTTTGAAGTTTTACAAATCTCTGTACTGTCCTGTACTTCTTTGGCCATGACAGTGGTTAAGAGGAGAGGACTACAAGGTATAAGTAATGGAAATTCAGATGTGTCTTCGGGGAGTGCCCCATGTGGTCTATCTGACGAAGAAGAGGAAACTAAAGAAGATAGAATGGCATCTGGATTTTCATGCTTATTTTAAACTGTAGAAGGTTGTTTGGGTTCTCTCTCATTATCTGTCTACCTAATTACACCCCCCGCCCCACACCCTCTGCCACATATACATTCATTTGAGATCAGTTAAAAAAATTTACTCAAATAGGCCACATGGGATACTCACTGAAGACAGGCCTGAGTTCCCATCTCATATACCCTCTAGTCTCTCATTTCCTCTCTTCTTCTTGACCACTGTCACACCGAAAGAGATATAGTCAGTGTAGAAATTTGCAAAACTGTGACAATTTTGAGTTAAGAATTCAAGGTTGGAAGTGTTTTTGGAGATTATCTGACTATATTTCATTAGGGATGGCCATATCTGAGGCTAGGCAGGCAGATGATTCACTGTTGGTTGAATTGCTGGTTAGTGGCAGGAGTGGTGGTAGAGAAGCCCAGTCTCTCATCTCCTCATTCCCACTCCTGTCATGTTATTAAAATTAGTAAATCAAATTACTCAACCATTAGAGATATCTATTTTCACCCTAAAACTTGTGAGTCAAAACCCATATGGTTTGTGATAAATTCATATACTTCCTTAATGCCATGGTGAAAAATTACCTCTCTGCTTCCTAGATTGCCTTTCCCCAAAAATTCTTGGTCTGTTTCTGTTTTGTTAGGATTTGTTACAACTTCTTGCTTGTTGCCTTTTGCTTCACAGGCAGTGCAGAAGAGAGGATGAACTTGATATTGGAAAGAGGTTAAGAATATGAGAATGAGCAGTCCTGTGACCTGCGAGAAAACTGATTGGCCAGTTCCTGTTATCTGTAGGATCTGCTTTTCTTAAGGATGAGCATATTTTGGTCCCTAAGTTTCCAAGACAAGCACATTCCTGCCAACATGATCCCTGGACAAGCTGTTCTGGTATTTAAAATTGCTACTGAAAGGGGGTGAAGTCCAGGACACACACACACACATTCAGTGGGGGGCGAGCTGTAGTTGGCTATGTTAGCACCTCATTATACAACAGTTCCAGGATAAAGTGATTCCAGATGTGCTATCAGCAAGTAACTAGTACTTAACATTTTTAACCCATTAGGCCAAAATCCACTTTCAGAATTTTGGGGAAGTCAGAAGTTAGTTAATTAGCTAGTCATCCCTAGTTACTTCATAAAGTTGATTCTAAGTTGACTATAATTTGCAGTATATATAATTTGTATATATACTTCAAGTTAGATGGTAATGATTATAACCATTTAAAACATGTATATAAATATATACATACATATATATAAATATTCTACACATATATCTTTGATGATAATTAGGTTTTAATTTGTAGTACTGTTTTAGTGATCATTAAGTTTTCCTTTGTCCTGGAAATTTCATTTAGAAAAATGTTTCTAACAGGTAGTAGTCTAATTTCCTTCCTCTGAGCATTCAAGCTATAACACTACTCATTGTGATTCCTAAACTTCATAGGTAAGTCCTGGGTAAGGACCTCCCTTGCTCTTTTGTAAACCAAGATTCAATTTTTTTCTACACCATAAGCTTTGTAATCCAAATATACAAAAAGGAGTTGAAGAGAAAAGATGATAAATGCCTTTTCTGATCATTTGTATTATTAAGAATATGGGCTGTTTGCATCATTTGGCCCCTAAAGATGAGCAATTGAGGGCAAACATTTCATTTGCTTCCAAGTATATCAGAGTTGTCTGCTGAAATTACATTGTCTGATGAACATAATGGAAAACATCTTAGCTATTTTTTACTTAGTTGAGAATATTGTATCTTAGTAAGCTCTTTGATATAATATTAAAATAGGAGAAAGATTTTGATTTTATATCTAGCTTCAGGGATGCTGGGTGGGAATATTAGAAAATGTTCTTCAGTGGTACCTGTTATGTTGCAAATGGAAGAGCCCCTATAGCAAGGCAGTCTAGGTGTGCGGAATGCTAGCTGTGGACTGCCCAGCTTGATGCCTGCCTCTGTGTTTGACTAGCTGTGTGCTTTAGTGTCACCACTGTAAAGGATGGATAATAACTCCCGAGGGTTTAATGAATCCATTCTTGAAAAGAAAGCACTTAGATCCATTCCTGGCATGCATTTAGCACCATATAAGTCTTAGCTTAAATAAGCAAAAAATCTCCAATTTTGTCTTTTCCATATCAGAAACTTGCGAACAATGAGTGGCAGCTTAAGCAATATGTACCCAGTGAAAGAAAAAACATCTTTGGGATTAATCCACTCTTGGGGAATGTTTTGTAGGTGTTTTAGTCCAACTGGGGTAAGGCTGGAAGAGAAGAAAGTGAAGAAAGTATGGGGATGTGCGAATGCCACTGAATCCAAACTGGGACTGGACCTTGCTCTATAACAATTTCTTCATTATTCATGATGGGAGATGGAGACCCTTGGTGCTACTGATCAGCATGAGATGGACTATAATCTGTGTGTAGATTGTCAAGCATTTGTAGTTTAACAGTGTGAAGGGCTTTCTTTAGAGGGACTGAGAACATTGTGATTTTCTTTGAGTGATTTAGAAAGTCACCCCTGAGCTAGCCAGGTCTAACCCACTAGAGTATACAAGTTTGGTGACAGTCAGCCTGGTGCTCTTGCAGCCCTTCAGGCTCACGTGGACTTTGCTTAGAAGGCCCACCTCCCTCCTGGTTCCCACAGCCCCATCCTAGAACCAGGCTTGACGAGTGGGGTACAGGTTAGATTTCAGCCTCACCACCTCTCCATGGAGGACTTAGTTCAGTAAACAAACCACACTTTGAATGTGGTAGCCATGAAAAGAGGCTTTTGTATTTTGCTTCATATGGTTCAGCTAGAAAGTTATGTTGTTCCTTCTGTTCAATCTTAGTCTGCTTAAATAGCTCAATAGGGTGAAGAGATTGTTGAGTATTTTATCATTGAACCCCATGGTTATTACTCATTATTACTTAAAACAATCCCCAAGCATTTTGTTGACAGCCCAAGACAGTTTTCTATGGGAGGTTTTATTCAATCACTTAATTTAGGGTTAAGGTCCTGCTGAATCTTATTTAAGTCTACAATCAAGGAGAAAGACACCAGAATATTAGATCCTTATAGCTATAGGTCATATTTTTTTGCAAAGCCATTACTGCTTTTTTTCCTACACCCTCTTAATGATTTAAAATGGTGCATTTTATTTCCAATGGTTTGCAAGCTGTAACTGAAAGACTGAGGGCTCTGGAAAAGGCCCTGGCTAAACACCAGTCAGTCTATTGACAGAATCATGTTAGGAGTGTCCTCATGAGATTTGTGGGTTTTGGCTTCTCTTGTTTCTCATCTAATATTTCTTTTCAGTATTATCACAGTTAAATTCTTCATTGGACATGCAATAGATTAAAATCACAATAAAGTTTGGGCTTCAACCAAGCATAGCAGAAAGTCTTGATTCTTTGATATTACCTCCCAAGGTTCTTCTATTAGAGTGTCAGTGCTCCTGAACTTTGGAAGATGCAGGTCAGGGAATCATCCCACACAGAAAGAATGCTACCTGTAGGAAGATACAGAGAAGGACTTGTCTTAAACACACGTGCTTTCATTCCTAGGGACACTGAAGTGATCGATTCTACTGTTCTATTTTTATCCCTTTTCATTTAGAAAACTTTCATTTTGATTCCCATCTCCTGCCCTGAGTCTTCTCCATTCTGAAATGGGTAGGAACCCTGTTTCTCATTTTACTTATGGCGTAAGCATATCTCTAGAAACACACACTTAACACATTAGTTTCTAAAACACTTTTTCAAATGTATTATCACATTTAATCATCAAAATATTTTAAGATGGCTGTTAAAACTTTTTGTTTTTACAAATTGGAAAATTAAAGCTCAGAAATTCATATGTTGTTCTACCCAAAGGATATAATTGGAAGAGAACTGGATTTTTCATCCTTTGTTGAATAAAATAAAGAGAGATGTTCCTACATTTTCCATGGGGTTAACCATGGCTAAAATCTTAAAATATCTTTTGCTCAATTATGTGTAGCATAGTGGTATGGCCTAACTTAGGAAATTAGCTGTATTATTATCTACCTGTGAATTTGTCTCAACTAACTTAGAGCCTCTTTTGGAATGATTTCAGCTTGACTAGACAGGCACACATACACACATACACACAGATATAGAATTAACAATCCTTGGGCAAAACTTGGGGTAGTTAGCATATATGCAACCTTTCAAAGTAGTCAGAGAACCTTGAATTTCTGGTTTTACTTCTCATGAGCCCCAGTTAATCTGATGTTTTAACTTTTTCTAAAAACATTTTATTTTTCCCCCAGTGGATGTTGACACTCAGTTTAATTTCAAGCTTATTTTAAGAATATCTAGGCTTGGGAGGCTGAGGCATAAGAATCATGAGTTCAAAGCTAGCCTCAGCAAAAGTGAGGTGCTAAGCAATTCAGTGAGACCCTGTCTCTAAATAAAATACAAAATAGGGCTGAGGATGTGGCTCAGTGACTGAGTGCCCCTGAGTTCAATCCCTGGTATCCCCCAGTCTCCCCCCAAACAATATCTAGCACCTGGAATATCACAGGCATTTAATACATTTCAAATAAATGACTGAATTTTTCACTGTATGGACAAAGGCAATTTGTACATAGTCATCCACATGGTATTATAGATGGAGCAAGGACTTTGGAATCTGAAAAGATCTAGGCTTGAATCTTCTTCACTCTACCACTTCCTGATGGTTGTACACCTTCCTTAGGAAATCTACAAAACTTCCCTGGTCTTTGTTCTCATCACCTCCAAGTTTGGTGTTACGTTGTCTACTTTGCCATATTGCATAAGAATCATCTCAAATAATGTATGCAAAGTAACTTGTACAATGCTTGACACATAAAGTATGCTCAAAGTTCATGTTTAGAATTTGAAAAAGACAGAAATAGCTTTTTTTGGATTGAAATTATTGTAATTTTAAAAAAGCTGCTTTTTTTTAAAGTTTTTTTTTTAATATTTATTTTATAGTTATCTGCGGACACAACATCTTTGTTTGTATGTGGTGCTGAGGATCAAACCCGGGCCGCACGCATGCCAGGCAAGCACACTACCGCTTGAGCCACATCCCCAGCCCTAAAAAAGCTACTTTTGATTGTTGTTATGTAGTAAGCATGTGAGAGGAATGCAAAAATGTATATAATATCATAGCTCTGCAAGAGTGTTACATTTGCTGTTGAGGCAGTGACAGCCTTAAAGTTCCTGAAGATAAACAAAGACTAATTTAAATTCCATCAGAGAAGTGTGGCTATTGTTGACTCTGAGGGGCTGGCAGCTTGGAGGTGTTAGGCAAGCAGTGTAGATGAGGCTGAACATTTTTGCATCTCACCAGCCAGTTATCCAGTGGTAGGGCTTCCTCATGTGTCTTTAGGAACTTCAGAAGCTGCTGCCAACTGTTGACACTGATCAGGAGGGTGAAGAATTATTAGCCATTGGTTGCTGATGCTAGAATTGTACAAAGCACAGGGAGATGGTCAACTCTCTTCAAGGGAAGACTCAAAGTCTGCCCATGTTCATAATCAACCAAAGTCATATAGCAATCATTGTTGATATGATTTGAAAATATGACATTTTTAGAATTTATTTGTGTAGACAACTTACTAGACAAGCTCCCAGTTGGAAATATTTTATGTTTTCTGTTTAACATTTGTGTATAAAATCCAGATGCATAATCTATCGTATAAAATACTCATGATGATAGTGACAGTTCAACAAGCCTATTGTAAATTTTACTTAGAAAAATGAAGGACCAAAAATAAATATAATTTGAAGGACAAGTATAGCTTTTTACTTGAATATATATTTGGATTTATGAGCCAACCCTCACCTTTCTTTCCTTTTTTCCTCTCCAGATGTCACATATGACCTTTGATCTTCTAAGTTTGCCTTATTTTGCCTAACATAATGTTCTCAACTTACAACCATTTTTTTTTCAAGTGACATATTTTTTTTAAATGGCTGAATAAAACTCCATTGTGTAGATAGACTGCATTTTCTTTATCCATTCATCTGTTGATGGACACCTTAGTCTGGTTCCATTGTTTGGGATTTTGCTGTTATAAAAAGGGTGTGCATGTATCACTGTAGTAAGACTTTAATTTTTCAGGATAAATACTGAGGAGTGGTATACCTGGGTCATAGTGATTCCATCCCTAGTCTTTTGAGGAACCTCCACACTGATTTCCATAGAGGTTTTATTAATTTATAATTTCATCAACAGTGTAAAGTTCCTTTTTCTCCACATTCTCTCCAGCATTTATTATTATTTGTATGTTTTTTTTAAAGTTTCACAAATTTATTATTGAACCAACCCAAATGAGTACTATAGTATCTTCATGGCTAAGGAAATATTATATTCTCAGTTAAATATTCTCAACTGTCCAGATAGTGGTGACATTTTCATCTTGATGTGACAAGATGATCATAACTTTGAACAGAATAAATATGTGTGCCATTTCATGTATAATTCCTTATAGACCCAGCTTGATTCTCCTCTAATGTCTCCTCTTGGAGTTGTACCTGATTTTATTACCAGTTTTCATTCAAATTCATTGGAGAATGGGAATGTTTTTGTTTCTTGGCCAGGAATTTCTTGATCATTAAAGTCTTGTGAAAAAACATTGTAAAGAACTGAATCAAGTACATTTACCACAATGGCAAAAAACAAACAAACAACAAAAAAAAACTAAGAGCTTGTTTGTGTTCTTGATGCCTGCCATTCTGACTGGAGTGAGATGAAATCTCAGTGTAGTTTTGATTTTTGTTTCCCTAATGATGTTTACCATTTTTTTCCATATATTTGTTGAATATTTGTATTTCTGCTTTTGAGAAGCATCTTTTAGTTTATTTGCCCATTTATTAATTTGGTTATTCATTTTTCTGTTAAAAGTTTTTTTGAGTTCTTTATATATTCTAGATATTAATTATCTGTCAGAAGAATGGTTAGCAAAGATTTTCTTCCATCATGCAGGTTCTGTCTTCACATTCTTAATTGTTTATTTTGTTGTACAGAAGCTTTTTAATTTGATGTCATATCATTTATTAAATTGGCATTATTTCCTGAGCTTTAGGTATCACAGTGAGGATGTTGCCATCTGTGCCTATATGGTAGAGTGTTGACCCTGTGTTTTCTTCTGCATAATTTCCTGGTCTAACTAGGTCTTTGATCCATTTTGAGTCAACTTTTGTGCAGGGTAAAAATTATGACTTATTATGAAGTTGTAGTAATTGAGGCAGGGTAGAAATGGCAAAGGCAGAGATATATGCTGATGGAGCAGAAAAGAAGTTAGGAAAAAGATCCATAATGTATGAAAACTTGATATACATGACGGGTAATATAGGGGAAAAGTTTGGTGACTCAATAATGGATTCTGGTACAATGAGGTATTTTATATGGGATAAAAGCAAAAGCATATCCTTATATTTTGCCACACATAAAAATCAGTTGTAAGTAGAGTGAAGATCTAAATATGAAAACACAGCTTTTAAACATCTAAAAGAAAATATTTTATGACCTTGGGATAGGTAGGAATTTCTTAGATAATACTCAAGAAACATAAACTATAAAAGATGGATTAATAAACTTGACTACGTTCAAATTAGAAATATCTGTAATTAAAAGGCACCCAAACAACTGAACAGATGCATGAGTAAGAAGCATAAACATACAAAAATTTCAACACAGTATATAAAGAATCTGTATAAATCAATAATAAAAAAAGAAAACACAATTGAAAAATAGGTGAAATTTTTGAATAGGCAGTGGATAGAAAAGAAAAGCTGTATGGTCAGTAACCATGTGATCATTATGATCAGGGAAATGCAAAATTAAAACTGTCATAAAGTAGGATTTTATGTCCACCAAAACCCAAGTGCTGGTGGCGATGTATAGAGCAGGAAGTAATCTTAATGCATGGCTCATAGGAGAATTCCACTGGCACTACCATTTTGGAAAACAGTTTAATGAAATTTAGTACAGTTGAAGATGAACCTACTGTGTAACCTGCATCTCTGCTGCTAGGTCTAATTCCTACAGAAACTCTCTCAGCAGCTGCCATAGTTCCTAGGGCAGAGAAAGAGATCAGTAAATAGATAATGAAGGAAGGAAAGAAGGAGGAAAAGGAACAAGGGAGGAAGGGCTATTTGTGATCATTGTCCTTTTGCTTTGTTCTGGGTGTTGTGGGACTGTTTCTTCCTTGCCAGTGCAGTCCCGAATCACCCCAAAGATCTCTCAACTCCAGTGCAACTTTGGGACTCTCAGAAGATTATCCTTTACATATAAATTTACATGGAAATGAAAGTGAGGATTTTCATAGCTGATGAATTGAATACATTCTATAAATGTATTTCCTTACAGAATTCACAACGGTCCTTTAAACAGTAAGCTCTAATTGCATATTTAAAATGAATCTACTGTGTAAAATGAGATGTACCAGCATATTATGTGTAGCATAAAATATAGTTATTACTGGATATTTACAATTCTATTGGCAAAGAAAGATGAGACTTGATGCCTAGAGAAGATAAAATGTATTTGATGGGCTCTGAGTAATCAAAATATATTTCACAGGTTTATAAAGAAATGTATATTCTTTTTAAATAGTAAATATTCATATGTACTAAGCCAACCCTTTTATAACATATATTCCCTAGAGCATAGAAAACATGGCAACACTTCTCACTGCTGCAAGAATGTGTGGTTACCCCGGCAACAGCATCTTAGTTTCTGCTTCCAAGTACCACCTGGTGATTTCAAGTCTTCCAGCTGTACAGCATCTATATTTCCATTGAGGAAATAAAATGCATTCATGCATCATCTCATGGAGGATTTAAGAAGAAACAAGCTTGCAAATTTGTGGAAAGAAGAAAAGAAAAAGCAATATATTCCAGCAAAGCTGACTGAGGTTTACAAGTCCTAACTATAATCTTGGAAGCATGCCCAAAGCAGGCAAGACCACTGCATTAGGGCTTAGGATTGTGAGGCAGATTTCCCACCAGAACTTTCAATGTTCACATAGGCTTAGCAACCTAAGAACATTTTCTTATCCCTTACTTGAAGCGCAAACTTTTAAGTGGAAATTATCACTTTCCATATTAACAGTCATTTAGACAAAAACATTTGTGTTTCATCACTGTGTGAAGTATAGAAATATGAAGAAAATAGTGTCCTTGGTTTCATGCTTGTTTCTCAGTGCTCCTAATTTTACCCAAAGTTGTGAGGGCTTCCTTAAATCTAGTCATATTAAAAAGGCCAAATCTTTCAATAATTTCTAATGAAATGAGTCTTGTGGAACTGAAATAGATTTCCATTCATGTTTGAGTTTGTCAGGATGAACCCAACTACTGTGTATAACCTTGAAGCTTTAATAAAAAAGAAGAAAAAAGAGTCCTTGGGAATTTCTGAATTAGTTAGATATGTACTTAGGGGAGGAATAGCATTACTGGACTACAGGGGGACAACAGTTTGGGGACTGATGGACAGAGAGAAAGAGGTATCTGGAGAATATGAACACCCAGCTTAAGGTGTGTATTTAAAGTTTTAACTTTCCTTTTCCCCACTTATTATGATTTTACAAGTACATAGAGAAAAAAATATATGAGAACAAGAGAAAAAAATCACTGAAGATACTAATATTGTTAATCTATTGGAAAATTTCTTTTAGTCTTGTTTATGCATTTTTTCACCTTTATGCTACATTTTAGAAGAGATACTCAAGTTTCATCTATATCACAATTGATTTTCTGCAGAGCTAATTATGGTCTTTACTGCTTCCATGGAGTACTTTAATTCTGGTGTGACATTTTGAGTTTCCTTGCATTTTTTTCTTATTCCAGTCACTCAGTGTTTTTTTTTCTCCTTTCCTCTTAATCTACTCATTCTTGGATTTCTTTCATCTTATTTCATAGTGATTGTATTTCCATATACATCTGTTTAGGATATCTAACAGAAGTTATTCAGAAGTTTCTTTAGTTTTGTAGAGTCTTTTTGGAGGTATCATGTTGATTTCATCCTGTCTCATCCTTGGACAAGGAGAGGTCTTTCCAGTCTAATGTAAATAAGATGTACACAATGTCCCTTGTACTGTCCCCTTGCATTTTGACAACTTCTCCCTCTCTGAAGTAAACATTGGAGGAACATTGGAGGCTTTTTATGTGTACAACCTTTGTTCAATTTTCAAGGTTTAAGATTTCCTCTTACTTCATAAATACCTGTATCTCTTTGCTATGTACCAGATGCCATTGGTACATTGTAGGTGCCAAGGACATGGCAGTGGACAAACCAGCTTATATAAAATAAGTGAGCCTATGATCGCATAATGTATAATACAAAGCTTCTGCTGAGGGAGATAGGAAGTTAAAGAGGCAGTTACTTTCTAAAACTCCCCACAGTGGATTTTATAAAAAGACTCACAGGCCAGATGCAGTTGCGCATGCCTGTAATCCCA